TCTGCAGTGTAGGGAAGGACGTGTTCTGCAGTGTAGGGAAGGACGTGGTCTGCAGTGTAGGGAAGGACGTGGTCTGCAGTGTAGGGAAGGACGTGGTCTGCAGTGTATTTCAGATATGGATTTTGGGGGAGGGGATTACCAGGTGCTGGACCACTGAGCTGCCTCCACAGCCCTTTTTATTGTTTTAGAGGCAGACCCTTGGCTGGCTTTACGTGTGATCCTGTGGCCTCAGCCTCCAGAGTTGCTGGCATCCACAACTGTGGCCGCTATGCTTGGCTCGAATATGGAATCTGTGAAAGATCCTGAGATTTTGGGGCAGCTTTCTCATGTTCAGTTCACATCTGACACTGAGTCAGTTTGAGATGCATGGTGACCCGTCTCTCTGGCGGACCTGCTTAGGTGCGCCCTGAAGGTGCCCAGGCAGTGTCAGTGGGAGCCCAGGAGGCCTGTGGTCCTCAGGTCCCCGAGGCTTAGGGTGGTGGTGGCCACTGTCTTGCCATCCTTCTGCTCATAGCTCTCCTGTGAGTGTCAGATGCCTGCTGGTGTGTGCAGAGCTCTGCATCGTGGGCTCTCAACCAGCGGTCACCAGGCCCACTGTCAGCCCGTCCCAGGATCCTGAGGGAGGACGGCAGACAGGGCCACGTGTCTTCTGGGACGCTGCTTCCCTCGGGTTGGCAGTGGGGCTTCTTCAGGGGCAGGAGGGCCCCTCTCCTTCTCCCTCCACACGCATGCCCAGAACCCACCCTTTCAGGACGGCACTAGTGCAGACTTGGAGACGGCCTTGCTGCAGAGCGCAGAGCAGGACAGAAGGGTCCTCTTACTCACGGCTGCAGTAGAATGACTGGGATTTTGGAAGACGGTGGGTCTGGCTGTGAGGACATTTGGAGCATGGGCTCCAACCGCAGAGCACCACAGAGGTGGGTGTCTGGTCCTGAGGTCATAGAGGCACTCTGTCCCCAAAGCAGGGTTCTTGCCACCTGCTCCTCCTTGTGGGGCAGCAGGCAAAACCCCTGCCTTGGCTGTGCCCCATGGCACTGTCCCGCCCAAGGCTTCCAGTCCATCAGTGTGCTTTGGAGAAGCCGAGAACGGGGAGGAAAGAGAAGAGAGGAAGGAGCAGCAGAAGTTGTTGACCAAGACAGGAAACCCAGGTGTGATCATAGAAGCCAGGTGGGCATGGAAGGCCCAGGTGTGAGCTAACCTGTCTCCTGCTCTGGGAATGCCTGGAGTCCAGCAGTCACTGGGTCTGAGTACCTGCAACATGTCACAGGCCATGGGAGGTAGCTGGGTTGTGATTGGAAGCGCCAGGCTTCCCTCCTTAACACGGGGTGCACACCTGGGCTGGACCTGGGCCTCAGCTTGCCATGTGCTAGGAGGATACTGAAATCTTCAATCGCTTCCTTCCTGCCTGTGTTCCACCTGAGCAGATGTCTTTCCTTGACTATACTTTTGCAAATCATTTGGATTCACTTTCCAACCATGGGCATTTGCTGGCTATAAACGCCCGGTGTTTCCTGCCACTTCACCTGGTTGCCTGGTTGCTTGCTTAGGGCTTTCACTATGTCCCTTAACCTGCAGTGCAAACAAGGTTGCATCTAGTTGCATACACATCCCTTTGTCCTCTCTGTTTGCCCTTCCCACTGACTGTCAGTTCCTGGTGTCTGGTTTCAGTGTGACAACAAATTCAAACCCAAGACACATTTCGTCCTACCACAGGGCAGTGGGCCCTGGGGGGAAGGAGCCTGTGACCAGGGAGCTGCTCAGATCCGCAGAGGCTCTGGGTTCTGAGAACAGCACCTCACGCAGGCTGGGGAGGCCTGGGGAGGTTGCTCTGGGGCGTGGCTTGGGGTGTGCCTTCTGCGGAGTTCACCTTCTGTGAGCCTGGAAGGAGGAAGGGTGGGCCTCGCCCTGGTCCTCTGCACCAGGAGGTGATGTGCGCAGCCTGCCTGACTCTGCAGTCACACCCAGCTCCAGCTGGGCTCCTGTCTGTTCTCACGTGCACAGCCACAGTGCTGGAAGGTCCCAGACTGGGAGAAGCAGGTGGAGTTGGCCGGAGCTGGAGGCCCTCGGGTGGTGAGCTCGGCCTTCAGCCTCCTCTTCCCTTGGCGGAGGTTCCCAGCTCAGCTTCCTCCTTGGGATTCAAGTCACTGTCTCATTCTGAGTTCTGCTTCTCCAAGGTGTGGCGAAGCTCCCACCAGCTGTGGTTCCATACTGGCCGACCCAGCCTTGCCTGGGCCAGGCACTCTGCAGGGATTCCCGATGGAACAAACCAGGTTTCTCTG